AGGTGAGTTGAATGGATTGAAGACTCTTATCTTGAATGAAAATCCACATGCGAGATATATTCATTGTTTTGCTCACCAATTGCAATTAGTTGTCGTGGCTGTTTCTCAAAAAATTAATTTTGTGAGTGATTTCTTTGAATATTTGTCCATGATTACTAACATGGTTGGATCCTCTTGTAAAAGAAAAGATGAATTTCGCCAAAAACAACATGAAAACATGGTAGCCATGTTAGAAAAAGGTGAAATTACGACCGGGAGAGGATTGAATCAAGAAAGTACTTTAGCACGACCGGGAGCTACTCGATGGGGTTCACATTTTACAACCATTATTCGTATTCTATCTTTGTGGTCTCCAACAATCCAAGTGCTTGACAATATATTTGATGATGGAATTGATTCGAAATCAAGGGGCAAAGCTAGTAGTTTGGTTGAAAAAATGGAGAGCTATCAATTTGTTTTTATAGCCCACTTGATGAAGAAGGTATTGGGATTGACGAATATGTTGTCACATTTCTTGCAACAAAAAGATCAGAACATTCTTGAGGCTGTGAGCTTGATTAAAAGCACTAAAGAGAAGTTCCAAGATTTGAGAGAAAGTGGATGGGAAGAGCTATTAGAAGATGTCAGTAAATTTTGTGTGAAGAATAAAATTGACATTCTAAACATGGAAGATACAACTCATCGTTCTAGACGCGTTCGCCATCCGGTAACAAATTATCATCACTTTCGAGCTGATATTTTTTATCAGGTATAGACCAGGTCAATCTGGAAATGGAGAATCGCTTTAGTGAGTCAAATACAGATTTACTCGCTTGTTTAGCTTGCCTTGATCCTAAAGATAATTTTTCCAATTTCTGTGAGTCAAAGCTACTCAGTCTTGCGGAGTTATATTCATCTGATTTTTCAGCTGTTGAGCAAATGGAGCTTAAAGAACAACTCCAAGTTTGGATATATGAGATGAGAGGAAATGAAGCATTTTCCACTTTACAAAGTATTGGTGAAGTGTCTAAGAAGATGGTTGAGCTTACAATTCACAAATCTTTTCACTTGGTCTATCGTTTTATTGAGTTGGCTCTAGTGTTACCAGTTGCAACAGCCACAGTTGAAAGAGCTTTCTCATCGATGAATATTATCAAGACAGATCTTCGCAATAAGATGAGATATGACTATCTTACGGATTGCTTAGTATGCTACATCGAAAGACACATTTTTCAAGCAATTGATAATGAAGCTATTATGCAGCATTTTCAAGATATGAAAACTCGTAGGATTGATTTGCCTAGGTTGCAGAAGTAAATCAAGTAGTATGTAATGAACTATAATTTTTTGTTAAATTATTACGCTATTGTTGTTCTTATTATATTTTGGACACGAACTTTAAATTTTTTAGTCTTTGGTTTGCCCCTCCTTGGACAAACCTCTGGCTCTGCCACTGCCCACATAATTGAGTGATATAGAGAAACCGTATAAAACAGAAAAGATTTTTAAGAAGTAAAGCGTATGTATGACATGTAAAAAAACGTGTACGTACTACGGTGTACGCATCTTGGCATGTACGCGGAGAGTGACCGTTTGATTGCAAAGAAAAAGACTTCGGTGGGCCGAACTATAAGGCCATCTCGGCAGGTGAAAATGGGCTGGAAAGTTACTGTTCTTTGCCCCGTGCAATTAATTCCTCACTATACAACCTTTTGTCTTTCCATTACTATATTCGTTTATACCGTAAAGCATGTGGTCGTACATTAGAAAATTGATCAAAATTTTGGAAAGATCATGCCCAAAACAGTAAGCATCATTCCCAAATGTCTCCATCTTACCACTACAAAACACTAACATGTGAGTTGATCTAATCTAACACCAATTTATACGTATTCACTCAGTTAATTTAGTTTTCTTCTACAACCCAATATCGTCAATATATATTCAATCAACACATATTTTTTTTAAATTAAATGCATTAATCCTTACATTTTTTATTTTACATCATTTATGTGACAATTTTATTTTTACCAATAATTATAATTTAAAAAGTCAAACATTTCTATGTAAAAATAAATAAATTTAGAATTTTTTTTTTTATTTCAGGCCTATATTTTAAAAACATAACCAAAAGATGTAAAAAACTTATGCATGAGATATTGTTTTTAAAATTTGGATCTACTTCAGAATAATTTTGAGTCTAAAGATCTCCATTAGATAAAACAACATATTTTTTTTTAACTTTATATATATATATGATATTGGTGCCGTATGAAAGATCGTAAAAAGTTATAAATGTTGATATATTATTTATAAAATTTGAATCATTAATAAAAAATTTATAACATTTTAAAAAACTTGGGATTTTTATCTTTCATGTAGTTCATTTTTTTCTTTGCTGCGCACACCAAGGGAATGGAGTATTTTTTTCTCTCACAAGGAGCAATCCGGGGTCTATATCCCCACTCCCAAGGGTTTCCCAACCCACTACAAGACCTTGCTATACTTTTTTTGGCTTGGGTTGGAGTTCAATATGGGGTGAAAACATCAAATTTGAGTTTCCACCCCTTGTATTGCGGATAGCCTTGCCAAACACAACTTACCCTCGCCCTCCATATTCACGGAAATATAATGTTCGTTCTCACATTAATCTTGGGAATCATTTCTATAATCATAGTAAGTTCGTTTTGGGAATGTTTTAGCTTAATTGTGCTTCAAAAACCTCTCAATCGGTTATTCTCCTTCAAATTTTGTCACAAGTGTACAATCTTGTTCTAAATATGACATAGTCCGCAATTTGCACAGTAAAACTTCGCATAGAATGTAAAATGCAAACACACTCCGGCTGTTTCGTGAAATAGTCATTTTTTTCATCAAACACATAACTTTTAATTTTATGCGTTGAATTATGTAATAATCAAAATAAGGAAGATATAAATTACTTTTATGGCATCGAATTGATTGATGTTAATGCATAAGACTATTTTGACTATTTTTCATATAATTTTCTTTATTTTATTAATATAAAAATATTGTAATTTCCCCCATAAAGGCATAAACCAGCCAATTTAGTCAGAATTTCAAAAATTTAAGCAAAATTAATCGATTCTACCAATTTCATTGTTACTGAGGTGGCTCTAAATGTGTAGCTTATTTTATACCCAAGATAAAGTGCATATCTATCAAACTTTTATCATACCAAACTACCAAAGTATATTTAAATACTACTCTCTCCGTTCCAATTTGATTTGCAAAATTTCCTTTTTTAGTTGACCCAAAATGATTTTCCACTTTCTATTTTAGTTATGTAAATAAGAATAAAGTGACAAATTACTCTTACTTTTACTTTTCCCCATTAACTTAAAGGTATCTACTTTTAGAAAGATGGACAAAAGTGTAAAAGCAAAAATCATTTATTGTAATTTCTTAATCTTTGTGCCGGTCAAAGTTTGCAATTCAACTCGAGAATTGAATTATAGTAAAAATATTGACATCAAAGTAAACCAGGCCGTCGGTGGGCATCCCACTGTAACTAGCACGTGTACAACACACGGAAATCCAGTGAGTGACCATCCCATTGTAAGCCCAATAGCTATTTAGCTCGGTTTATAAATGCTTAAATTTAATGGCTATAAATGTTTAAAATATGTTTAAGATTTTTTTTGGTCACGAAAAATATGTTTAAAATTTATGAGCACGTTAGGTAACACTGAAATCGACTGAATTGGTTGAAATTGCTTAAATTTATGAAGTTCTGGTTGCATTGGTTGTATTGGCCGTTTCTGCTGATTTATGAAAACATTATATTTAAAATATGTTTTATTAATAAAATAAAGAAAAAATAACTTGAAAAAATAGTTAAAATGATCCTCTACACCAACTTCAGTCAAACAGCCAAAAAGTAACTACAATCTTACTTTTTCTATTATTACATAATTCAGCACGCGAAATCAAAAGTTGCGTGTTTAGTGAAAAAGTTAACTGATAAGTTTGATAAGCCGAAAAACAAAGTCATCAAACAAACAGTATGAATTAATGCAGTTAAGCACATTATTAGCTTGTTTGCTTAATATTAGGATTGTTGAAATTGATGAAATTCTGACTGAAATAGTTAAATTGGTAGAATTTATTAAATTATAGAAAATTAAATTTAAAATACTTTTTATTAATAAAATAAAGAAAAATTATATAAATAAATAGATAAAAACGTCATTTGTTGCTACTTCAAGCAAGTTAGCTACAAAACAAACTTTAATACGAGTGTTGGACAAGTGTTGGATGTCATTCCTAAAGGCAAAAGACAGGATATTGTTCATTCATCCGTCCCAAGATTTATTGCACTTAAATCTAACATATTTATTACTCTCCCCGTCCCTGAAAATACTTCCAACTTTCCCTTTTAGTCCGTCCCAAAAAGAATTTTCCTTTCTCTTTTTGGCAAAGAATTTGTGCTTCACAACAACTCTTACACATTTCTCTCTCCTCTGCAAAACTCTCCACCACACAAAACACACTTTCTTAATCCGTGTGCCATTTGTACAACGGAAGTAAATTATGGGACAGAGGTAGTACAATGCTACTGAGTAAATTGTTGAAGGAGGTTGAACATACTTGTGGACATAGCTCAACTGGTAGCGAGAGAGTGCCACAAGAGTTAGGTCCCGGGTTCGAATCCCGACAACTGCGATGAGGGGTTACTATGCTAAAATGCATAGAGCCTCTACAAGTATCGGCGACAGAGTTCCACTCTCTATCTATCAAATTGAGATTATAGTCCAATTTACATTCTCCCAACATGTCGTCCGGTCGGGTTTGAGGGACTTACTAATGGAGTAATGGGGTGTTATTTTTTTTGAATCGTCAAAGTAGCTAAAAGCCTAAAAGTTAAAGACGAAAGTTTGAAGTGTTCTGTACCATGTCCTCATGTGTCAGGTTCCGTCCCCCACTCCTGACTCCGCCCTCACACCATCAGTCATTACACTCTCACACAACAAGTTCACTCCATTGATCAATCCTGCCACCCCACCCCCACCCCAAACAATTCCATTTTGAACTATCCCACATTTTGCTAGAAAAAGAACTTCACTTTCCTGAAAAGTTCAGCCAAACATGGCTGTTGGATCCATCTCTTCCATCACCTTCATCTTCTTCGCTGGACTACTACTCTCAGAAGCAAAGGGCAGTGACAATGTGTCTGTTCTCATGACCATCAAAGCCTCCTTAGACCCGCAGAACCTCATTCTTGAATCTTGGTCACCCAATGCCACTGACCCTTGCACCGTCTCCTCCTTTGAAGGCGTTGCTTGCAACGACCTTGGCCAGGTTGTCAACATCTCCTTGCAGGGAAAAGGGCTTAATGGGAAAATACCACCTGAGATCGGCCAGTTGGGCTCCTTGTCTGGGTTGTACCTCCATTTCAACAACCTTCGTGGGGGTATCCCTAGTGAAATAGCTAACTTGACTCGCCTCTCAGATTTGTATCTTAATATGAACAACCTCTCTGGTCCTATACCTCCTGAGATTGGCAACTTGTTAAATCTTCAAGGTATCTTTATTTTCTCTCTTTCTTTCCTTCTTTCGTCTCTCCAAGATGCAAACTTTATTCTTTAATTCAAATTACAAATTTACTTGCTTCTCTGTGTAACTGTGTTCATTCCTTTTTCCTGTTTTAGATTCGACTCCTTTGGGGTTGGGTAAAGTACACCTTTATTGGATTAACCCGAATTGGAAGAGATTTAATAGACCCAAAAGGGCTAGTGTTGTTTGAAACGCAATGACTTTTAATAATGCGTTAATTTGCAAGTAAAGTAGTCACTTTCTAGTCTTAGACTACTAGTCCGCATAGTTCTTCTAGCGAAAGAGTTAACTATTAAAAAGGTCTAAACTTTACTAAAGTTTTACTTTTAGGGGACTTCCCTTCCTGTTTCTTTGTTTTTTTCTTTTGAGATCTACCCTTTTAAATCCATTTTCCAAGTTTAAAAATTATTCTTATGGCTGACATTTTTTGTTGTACAAGATGATTAATTAAGAGGCTCATATCCTAAAGGCTAACAATCAAAGAAATATATTATTGAAATTAATTGCGTTTCTACTATGAATAATTACAACTAAGATGCAAGCTTTAAGTCTCTCAAAAAAAAGATGCAAGCCTTATGTACAGTTTTGTGGATTATGAATTCTTGATGCGTTTTATATAGTGATTGAACTTTAGCATTTACTTTCTTTGGTTGCAGTGTTGCAACTCTGCTACAACAATCTTAATGGGAATATACCTAATGGGTTTGGGTCTCTAAAGAACCTTACTGTTCTTGCTCTTCAATCCAATCAGTTGACTGGTGCAATTCCAGCCAGTTTGGGTGGGTTGACAATGCTGACAAGGGTGGACTTGAGCTCTAATCACCTGTTTGGTTCAATTCCAGTTAAACTTTCTGAAGCTCCTAACTTACGAGTTCTTGATCTAAGAAACAATACCCTCTCTGGCAATGTCCCTCTTGGTAATTTATTTCTCTCTAAAGCCTATGCTCTTTTTCAAGAAATTTCTTTTAATGCAACATATTTCCGAGAAAACAAGTTGTTTTAAATGTAAAATCATATAAGTTTTGACTCACAAAATTTGGAAAATAATTTTCTTTTCATAATAGAAAGTAATTTTCCACGAAAGTATAAAATCAAGTTTTCAGGGTAAAAATTCCTTTCCAAGATAATGTTTTCCTTTGCAAAACACAAAAAACAATTGTGTGAGTGTGTGGTTAACTTTCATTTTCTTAATTTTCTTTTGTTGGATGTATGTTATTGGAATGAAGCTCTGAAGAACCTAAATGATGGATTCCAGTATGTGAACAACAAAGGTCTATGTGGGATCGATTTCCCCTCTTTATCACTCTGCATTGACACTTCCTTAAACTCCAGCAAACCAGAACCGGTCGGGCAAGGTTCATATCATCTCCCAACCAAAGATATTCCTCAATCCGCAAACATCCACCCTCATGACTTCAACCGGTCCAAGAAGCCACAAACTGCTGCGGTTGTGGGGGTCATTGGAATGATTGTTATACTGGCTGTATGTGGATTGTTCACTTTTTCATGGTACCGCCGAAGGAAACAGAAAATTGGAAGTACTTCTGATACTTCATCTGATAATCCTGCTCAGTCCAAGGTTGTCTGCAGACGAAGCACATCTCCTCTTATAAGCCTTGAGTATTCAAATGGTTGGGATCCTCTGTCTAAGGATCAAGCTGGAAGTGCTCTCTCACAGGTAAAAGATGCTTTTTATAACCAGGTTGGAAAAAGTTATTTCGTTGGAATGATTGAATCAACACAATTTTGTTAAGGCCAAAAGCCTTCGATAATATACATTTCACTCATGTAAATGAGTCAAAGCTCTTAAGTAGAATAAGCATTTGTAATAAAAAAGTAGAATAAGCATATTATAGTTCTCAATCAGGGCCTAAGAATAATAAAAGGCAACTTTGATATATGTTCTATATGAAAAGATATATACTTAGGCTATGTTTGGCACGCATAAGTCCATGCCTTCTAGCTTTTGTACTATTTAAAAAGTTCTTAGAAGCTTCTAGTTGTATGTTTGGCATGTCAATTTTTAAGAGCTTTTATAAAAATAAAAGATCTTTTTTCAGATGCTACATTGAGTAGCATCTCAGATAAGTATGTAGCTTCTAGCATTAATTAGTCATAACAGCTTGTATACCAAACAGAGCTAAATCAAACAGTTGGCTTTTTATCAAACAGCGGCTACCTTTTTCTTTTAAGATCTTTTCAGTCACTAAAAGCTAACAGTTACTAAAAAGCTTATAAAAGTATCTTTTCAACTAGTTGTGCCAAACATACCCTTAAGATTAAAAATTCTCTTTGGTAAATGCAAATTTGGCTGAAATTGCTATAATTGTTACTTATATTGTTGATTTTGCTGAAATTATGAATGACATACTCCGTATAATAAAATACATTTATTTATAAAATATAGAAGTAATTATATTAGAGGGTTTTAAATGATCATTTTCACCAATTGCAACTTCAGTAAAAAAGTACCTTGACACTTCTTTGGGAGTGCTAAAAAGACGTAAATCTGATAGGGCTAAATGGCTAATAATCATGAACTATTAAGACATAAGATTTTATATGGAAAGGATTCTCATTCAGAAAAGGCTAAAATGTTACTTCCTCCATTCTTTGTAGTTGCAAAATTCCCATTTTCACACTTGCCAATGTGCAACTTTGACTGTCATTATATTTAATTCTTTATTAGTTAAAAATTTTAAAAATCAGATTAAGAGAATTTGTAATAAGACGAATTCAACAATGTTTTTCAAAAAATAAATAAATAAATTTCATACGTTAATAAATAAAATGCAACCAAAGTAGAGCATGTGAATGGTGTAAAATTTTCCGTGTTGCAACTAAAAAGAAACGGAGGATAGTATATACTTATAAATTATATACAAGGTGAATGACTATTAAGACTTGATATTTGATCCTCAACCTTGTAGAAAGAGTAGCTCAAAGGTTTCTATCTTAGTTTTTGATTTATGTTGTTACATACCACAATAAAATGGGGGCTTGTGAACCAGATTAATTTTAAATCCATGTATCAATATATTTGTTGTTGAGGTTTTCTTGAAAACAATATCTAATATGATTTAATTCTATCACCAGGAAGTTCTTGAGAACTTTATGTTCAACTTGGATGAAGTTGAGTGTGCAACACAGCACTTCTCAGAGATGAATCTGTTAGGAAAGGGTAGTTTCTCTGCTGTATATAAAGGAACATTGAGGGACGGGTCTGCCGTTGCTGTGAAGTGTATTTCCAAGACCAGTTGCAAATCTGATGAAGCCGAATTTCGGAAAGGGCTGAAATTATTGACGTCATTGAACCATGAAAACCTGTTAAGGTTGAGAGGCTTTTGTTGCTCGAAAGGTCGGGGAGAGTGCTTCCTCATCTATGACTTTGTCCCTAATGGAAACCTGTTGGGATACCTTGACGCGAAGGATGGCAAAGGAAAGGTGCTTGATTGGTCTACCAGAATCTCCATTATCAAAGGCATTGCAAAAGGTATTGAACTTCTTTAATATTAGGCATCTGGTAAGCTTAAGATTTGGTCAACGGACTGAAATTTGGTGAAATTGTTTATGAAATTATCTAAAAATGTTTACATGCCTCAGTTGCTCCTAATTCTCTATTTTCCCTCGATCTGGTGCAATATAATTCCTCAATTATACAAAAACAGTTAATTGAAGTCCTCTCGCTCTAGTAATGAAGTCGTAACTCTTCACCACTTCTTGAAGTTCCATAGTAGCATGAGTAGTCCTTATCGACAATGGTATCAGCGTTGATAGAATTCAGGATTAGGTTGGGTTAACTCATTGTAGGCCAAACCTACACTAAGAGAGTGAATCCAAGTAGTAAAGTGATTAGTGTCAATTAAATTCAAACGAACAGTGGATGATTAAGAATGAAGAACACTCCAAATGCATACTAACATATAAAACCTTTAACCTTGGGTTAGTTATCCTACCAAGTTATCCTTTAAGTTAGAAATCCAAGTCTTAATAAGAATTAGCTTGTGAGGGGGTCAAATAACCAGTTTTTTTAACAATTCAATTACCAGAAACTAAATTTTCGTTGATGGACTTCATTGCTTTGTCTTGAATAAGTGATGATAGAAAAAGCAATTGTAAACATAAACTTCATAACACTTCTAAAACACAAGGTAAGAGCTCCATTTTTAAAAAGTTACATCTGGGCTACACTTTATCCCTTCAGTGACCAGCTTTGCTAGTATTGTTGATCAAGTTTGTGATTGGTAGAAAAATTTAGTTTATAAGCAGAAAAATCAAGTCACTAAATGGGTACTCATTTAATTTGCAATTATGATTACCATCCAACTGTATTAGTGTTAAATACTGAGTAACCAAAGACTAATATTTTTATCTTTAATAGGCATTCAATACTTGCATGGCAACAAAAGAAATGTTGCAGCTCTAGTCCACAGAAGCATATCAGCCGACAAGGTTCTGATTGATCAACTATACAACCCCCTTCTGTCCGACTCTGGCCTCCACAAACTATTAGCAGATGACATCGTCTTCTCAACGCTCAAAGGAAGTGCTGCCATGGGGTGCCTGGCCCCAGAGTACACAGTCACAGGCACTTTCACTGAGAAGAGTGACATATACGCGTTTGGTGTAATCATATTCCAGATCCTGTCCGGGAGTTGTTTGGTCACCCAAACAAACCATGATGGAGTAGAGATGTGTAGGTTTGAAGATTTCGTTGATGCAAGACTTGAGAGGACATTTGTTGAGTCCGAGGCTGCTAAGCTCGGAAAGATAGCTAGGCTTTGCACTAACGAATCTCCAGGTTGCAGACCTGATATTGATGATGTCATTGAGGCACTCAATGATAATTTAGGTTGCAGCTCTGTGATTTGTATTGAAGGGGAATGAAGAAGGGATGTTGCAGTAGAGCTTATGTTAGAGATTTGGTGTATTTTAGAATGCTGATGTAGGCATATTTATTTGTACTTAGTAATTAGTTTCCTAGTATGCTTTTGTGCATTAATCTACATGAACTGCCTACACAAGGCAGCTTTGGGACACCCATTTGTACTAACTAGAATTTTCACCCATGCGTTGCACGGGATGTAGTTCACTCTTAGTGTATGTTTTTCTCTTGTATGAGAATCACAACTTGTGATAATTCAGTATTTATTATCCTAGTAGTATTGAGTTTGGAAGTTAAGATGTGGTAAAAACATAACTTTCTCGTGCATGTGAGAAAATAGGGATGGACCGGTTCCGGTTTTCGCTTTTTGACATTTTGTCAATCTGCTCTTTTCGCTTGGATTTTCTGTGTTTTACTGGGTTTACCTCTAAGGCTAACCGCATTGCAAGGAGTCAGAAAGCTAATCGAAAGTTATTGACTCTCATGAATGCTACAACCCAAGAAAAAATCCGTATATGAAGGTCTGGTAATAGGATACAAGACCTTGGGTGCTAGCTATTCACTCAAAAAGTAAATGAAAAAAATGGGCACATGGGCTAGATGTAGGGTTGGATTTGGTTCGGGCCACCCGGCCCGTGACCCGGCCCGGCCCGGTACTGTGCGGGCCCGGGACCGGCCCGGTCGGGCGGTCCGGGACCGGGTATGGGCCCGAACCGGGGGGAAGGGGCGGGGCGGGCTCGGTTCAGCATTTTTGTGACCCGGCCGGGTCGGGCCCGGGCCCGGGTCCGAGTCTATTTTTTTAAAAAAAAAACTTTTTTTTGTTTTTTGGCTACTAGCCGTTGAGGCCTTGGGGGTGGGGCTGGGGACAACCCAAACGGCTATATAGCCGTTGGGTGGGGTAAAGGGGGGGTCCGGGGGGGTTGGCTGGTAGGGGGTGGGGGTGGGGGGGGGGTGGGGTGGGGGTAAAAAAACCTATAAATACTCCTACTCTTAAACATTTTTCATATCTCTTCTCCAATTCTTCCTAAATCCTATTCTTAACTCTCTACTCTCTAATTCTCTTATTCTCCAATATATTATATATCTACTCTCTAATTCTCTTCTCCAAGAAGTTAAGATGGAAAATCAAAATGCCATTATACGGTATAATTTTGATAAGCAGAAGGACCCGAAGACCGGGATGTGGTACGCAATTTGCAAATGGTGCGAAAAAAAATGTATCATGGGGGCTTCAGGCGGATTCGAGATGGCAATCAAGCATATGAAGTCATGTGACAAAGCCAAAGGATCGGGAGGTGCGGGAAGTTCCGATTGATTACAATTTTCAAAATGTTTATCTCTTAAAGTTTGTTTTAATTTTCAAATGTAGTTCCTATTTCATTTCAAATAAATGCAATTGAAGTTTGTTTTTAATACTCGTATAAAACTATAAAGAGAGAATTCCCCAAATAGGAGTAAATCATAGGCAAAATGCAAAAATAGGAGTATCATGTTTTGAATAGGAGTAACTTTAGTGTTTGGACAAGTATATCCCCTACCCAAGCCTTAAGCCCCAACAACTTTTAATTAAATATTTAATTCATAATAAATTCGAAAAAAAAATCAAAAATTCGTAGAAAAATAATTAAAAAATTTATAAAATATTAATAAAATAATTTTTTTAAATTTTTTTTAGTTTTTTTAAAAATTAATAAAAAATAGTAAAACTCCATATAAAAATTAAAAAAAAAATGGATGTCTTTCCCACCACCTGTACTACCTTCCTGCACCACCACCTCCGGGCGGTGAAAAAATTCCATTTTTCCTAAAAACTGCAATTTTTTTGTGAAAATGCCAAAAACATGGCATATTTCTCTTTGTGAATGCCAACATTTTCATTATTTTCTGCCATAAATATGACATTCGTAATGAACTTGGCATTTTTTCCCTTGGTGACTGGAGGTGGTGGTGCAGAGGCGGCAGAGGCAGTGGTGAATTTTATTTTATTTTTTTGAGTTTTTTTATTTTTTTTAAAAAAATATATTTTTATTTTTTGAAAAATAAATAAATAAATTATTATTATCGAATAAGTCATAAATTAACTAGGTTAAGATTAAATAAGTCATATTTTAGAATTAACTAGGTTAGGGATATTAAGGGTACAAAATTAATGTTTGCTCCTATTGAAGGAAGTTTTAAGTTATACTCCTATTTATGCAATTATGTTTATGATTACTCCTATATTGGGCAATTTCTAAACTATAAACTATAAAATATAAATTATATAAAAAAAAATTAACCGGCCCGGCCCGAACCGGACCCGACCCGTGACCCGGGCGGGTGGCCCGGCCCGAACCGGACCCGTCCGACCCTCGGGCCGGTCCCGGGCCCACTATTCTAGAACCGGCGGCCCGACCGGGCCTAGGCCCGGCCCAGGCCCGACCCGGCCCGAATCCATCCCTAGCTAGATGTGATGCACGCAGGAGAAATGAGCAATATGGGACCCATGTGAGATTTATATATATTTTTTAAAGTTATACTCCCTCCGTATCTATTTACTTGTCTCACTTTCCTTTTTGTGACGTATCAAATTAATTGTCTCATTTTCATTTTTTGAAATAAACCTACTCAAAAAGCAGGTACTTTACCGCTACAATACCAAAACCTTTTACTTTTCATATAATCTACAGTAATTATCTTAAACTACGTAAAAAAGTAAACGGGTCAAGTAAATAGATATGGAGGGAGTAACTTTTTTATTTATACTCTAATTTGTATAAAAAATATATCAAAGTTCATATTTTTTTATAATCTTTCATATGACACCAATATTGGATATGTAAAATTTAAAAAAAAAAGAAGTTTCATCTGCTGGAGATTTATAGATCTAACATTTTTCTCAAATCAATTCAAATGTTAAAATTAAGACTTTATTGTTAAAATATGTTTTTACATCTCTCAATTACTAATTTTCAAAAATAAATCTCATTGTTAAAAATATCACTCCAAATTTATTTAGTTTTACATGAGAATATTTGATATTTTAAATCATAATTATTTGTAAAAATAGAACTTGCGAAAAAAGTTATGTATAATAATAAAAGTAAGGATTAACTAAAAAAGAATGTGTTGAGTAAATATATTGACGATGCTGGGTTGCAGGGAAAAACTAGATTGATTGAGTGAATACGTATAAATTGGTATTAGATTAGATTTATTGACGGACTGGGTTGCGGTTAGCCTAACACAAATAAACTTTTTAAAGCACCACAAGTTGATGTGTAGTTATAAAAGATGCTCACTACGTATAAAAGGTGAAAGCAGTTGATTGCGATTAGGCATGTTTTAACAGGAAATTAAATAAAAGGCTAGCTAATCAGCTAATGATAGATTGTAGATAGTGGATACATTCATACATTATACTCCGTACATAATGAAGTAAGCTAAGGTATAACTAGTAAGGTAGCCATGAGCCCATGACTGGTTCTCTCTATTTCACTTCTACAATGTTTTTACTTGGACTGTAATTCGTCCCAAATCAGACCAGATCAGACCAGATCAGACCAAACTAGACCAGACCAAACCAGACCAGTTCAGACCAGATCAGACTAGACCAGACTTGGATAGTTATAAAAATACAAAGAAACCAGACCAGCACTACAAAAAAACTCGCCCTTTGTCACGGATTTTGTCACGGACGGTAGTTCAAAAAATCCGTGACAAATGATTTTTTGTCACGGATTTGTCACGGAAAAAAATCCGTGACACCAGGGGCGCGATAACGTTTTTGTCACGGAAATTAATCCGTGAGACCGTTTGTCACGGATTTGTCACGGCCACCGTCCGTGACAAAACACTTCACCGGAACTCCATCGCCTTTCATTTGTCACGGCCGCATCCGTGAATAATTTTTTTTTATTTTTCAAAAAAATAATAATTATTTGTCACGGAAATTTCCGTGACAAATTTAAAAAAAGGTTTTTCGAAATAGAGTGGGCGGGTATTTGAAACGATCCGGAAAATTCAAATTTTAAATTTTGTCACGGAAATATCCGTGACAAAACATTTTGAAAAAAATTGAAAATTTTAAAATAGAGTGGGCGGGTACTTTAAAATTTTCAAAATAAAAATTCAATATGAGGAACATCTTGAAATTTTTCAGCTAAGTCTTCAATATGAGGAACATGAGAATTCGGATACTCATCCGCATCAGGCTGATAAAAGGTCGGATCTTCATCCGCATCGGGTTGATACGAGGTCGAAGCTTCAGGAAGATCGTTAAATGGCTGTGGTGGGTTAATCTGAATCGTTGAAGCACCGTATACATCATATGCCATTCTTTGATCCCACGTCATTTGATCATAGTCTCCCCATCCACTCATCTTGGTAGGGACGTTACGAGATGAACCTACTGTTTGTGGTAAAAGTGATGGATCGAAAGGTTCGCCATGAGAAGTCCAATTATAATAATTGGCAACGAAACCTTTTTCGTACAAATCCCACACAACTTGGTCGACATCTTTAAATTGAAGATTTTTACACTTTGTACATGGAAATCTGATTTTATCGCCATCCATATAATTCTTCTGTTCTTGTGCAAATTTAATAAAATCTTCAACACCATTAAAAAATTCACTGCGTATTCCATAGTTATCGCGATGTTTTTGGTACATCCAACTTCTGTTTTGTCTATACATTATGCCTGTATATATATTATAATCAAAATATTATATAAGTACATTAATATTATTAATTAACTAAAAGCAGTACATTATTTGTGGCATTAATAATTTGAATTAACCAACTTTTCAATCATGTAGAAACGCCGACTAAAATATTATTTAGAAACATTAAGCTGGCCGGAATTAATAATTTACTAATATTTAACTAATAGTAATATGTTAATGGCATTAATCATTTTAATTATTAACTAAAATTATGAAAATCTAATAGTACACATTAAATAATTAACTAACATATAATACTAATTAAAGTTATTACGTTACGTTAATTAATGGCATTTATTCACAATACTAAAGTTAACTAATTTAACTTATTAATTAGTTAATTTCCATTTAACTAATATTGTTAAATATCATTAATTCACAATAATATATAATTCACACTTAACTAATAAAGTTTGAATCCTAACTTAAATCACTACAAATCCTAAATTATGCATTAACAATAATTAACTAATAAACAAATTAAACCTAATCATCATTGATCAATTAACTAATATTTAAATCTAACTAATATTATCAACTCAAATTCTAAACCCATTTCCTCAATGTTTTAACTTAATTAATTAGTTAATTAAATTACATTTAACTAATATTATTGTTAAATATTATCTCATTAATAATTCACACTAAACTAAATAATAATAAAGTTTCAATCCTAGCTATATATATTATGCATCCCATTAACAATAATTAACTAATTTAACTTATTAATTAGTTAATTTCCATTTAACTAATATTGTTAAATATCATTAATTTACAATAATATATAATTCACACTTAACTAATAATGTTTGAATCCTAACTTAAATCACTACAAATCCTAAATTATGCATTAACAATAATTAACTAATTAATAAACAAATTAAACCTAATCATCATCATTGATCAATTAACTAATATTTAAATCTAACTAATATTATCAACTCATCAAATTCTAAACCCATTTCCTCAATGTTTTAACTAAATTAATTAGTTAATTAATTTACATTTAACTAATATTATTGTTAAATATTATCTCATTTATAATTCACAATAATAATTCACACTAAACTAAATAATAATAAAGTTTCAATCCTAGCTAGCTATATTATGCATCCCATTAACAATAATTGCTAATAAATAATAATTGGTGATAATTAATAACCTAATAATTAAGCTAGCTAACTTAATTAAATCACTACAAGTCACTAATTAATTAATCTATAATAAACTAGCTAATACTTAAATCATCACTACACATATTAAATTATGCATTAATAATAACAATAATTGCTAATTAATATAAACAAACCGGCCTAATCATTGGTGATATAATTAAACTCATTATTTAACTAATTAATTAAACAAACCGGCCTAATTAATCCTAGCTATATTATGCATCACATTAACTAATTAATATTTATATTTAAATTTAACTAATTAAATTACGTTAATAGTTTAATAATATATTGTTAATAATATGAAAATTAACATGACCTCACTAAATTACGTTAATAGTTTAAATAAATGAACAACTAACCTCACTAATTAATTATTAAGCTAATAATTAATTATTATTATATAAAGAAAAAAGAATCCTAACCTCACTAATTAATTATTAAGCTAATAATTAATTTATTACACAATTAAAAGAAATTAGTTAAAATGACATACCTTATCTGCATAAACTGGGAAAATGATGAACTGACGGATTACATCATTCAATCTTTAAACCGATACTACATCACTCTTTTTCCGTACCGTATTATTAAAGGTTACCACTGGAAAATCAATAATTGAGGTTTGTCACGGATTTTGTCACGGATGGATCCGTGACAAAGTTTCTTTGAAATTTGTCACGGATTTGTCACGGAACAGTCCGTGACAAATGCCCGGAAACAAAAAAAGTATTCACCGGAGTAAAAAACCGGTCGCCGGAGTACATTTGTGACGGACCAAATCCGTGACAAAATATTGTCACGGATTTTGTCACGGACCTATCCGTGACAAAACATTTTCGTGACAAATACCAATATTCCGTGACAAAGCCCGTGACAACTTTGTCACGGCCGTAATCCGTGACAAAAATCCGTGACAAAGGGCGAGTTTTTTTGTAGTGCAGACCAGACCAGTTCAGATCAGACCAAACTAGATCAGACCAGACCAGACCAGCAAATTACGGTCCAAGTAAAAACATCCCTAGAGTATAGACGATATTTTATCATGGTTTATTTTAAAAGTTGCAAATTATTATACAGAGTAGTAGAATTACATTCATGAAGTTATGATGCTTCTTATGATTTCTTTGGAAGTTGGTGATATGACAATTTTTGAGTATCATTGAGTGACCTAAATTATTTAATGATATTACTTACTAGAATAATCTAGAATCAAAGATTCAAAATATCAATTCAGATTATTTTAAAATTATTTGAAAATATATGTAATAGGTTAGTGGAAAGCCAAGAAAGAACATACTATTTGAAGATTATGATGGTTGAGAGTTAAAATCGAAATTTGAGACTATTATACAATTTGAGATTATGGTGGTTGAAAGAACATACTATTTTCGGCTTATCAGTCTTATGAGTCAACGTTTTCACAAAAACGTAACTTTGTATTTTGGGCGTCAAATTGTATAATAGTCCAAATAAGAAAAATTGAAATTACTTTTCTGACCGAATTGATGGAAGATACTATAGAGAATCATTTAAGCTATATTTTCATATAATTTTTTCTTTGTTTATTAAAAAAATATATTTTAATTTTTTTCTTTCATAAATTAGAAGCAGTCAACCAACTACTTCAACTATAACTTTATAAATATCAACAAAACAAGGGAATGTTAGTGTTACTAGATGACTTGTAGATACGTGACGATAAATAAAAGGTAAGAATCGCAAAAAGTACTCTCCCTCTCAATTTTTTTTTTCCTAGTTTGACTTGACACGCGTAATAAGACAAAGTGGATATAGTGAAAATGCATGATTATCATTGATTAAGAAAAATGTTGATAGAGTATAGATATAGAAAGAAGTGAGAGCTAGAGAGAGAAAGTCTTTTACATTCAATGTTTTTCCACACCATAAAACTACCCTCACGAGGAGTATTTATAGAGGAAATGTGTGTGGGTTCCGAGGTTTTGGGCCTAGGAGTTTCGATTACAATAGTGATCCGCTAATGAGCTGATTACAAGGTGAAAACTTTCTACTAATAGGTCGTGGCTGAGGGGGCTAGACCAAGGTGACCACTCTTGTTCCAAATCTATGGAGGTCGCCTCGTCTGACCGGGAGGGACCTGACGAGCACTTTGTCACGGTGCGTCAAAATAAATTCAATACCAAACACTTATACGTAGTATAGCGTAGTAGAGTTCGTATCCACAGGGAAAGGAATAATTCTCTTTTTATGAAACTTAGTAAATAAAAAGGGGGGATTTAGATTGAGTGATTTGATTTAATTAAGAACTAAGATGAACAATCTATATGTGTTTAATTCAAAGATAAAAAGGACTTGACATTGCTACTTTCCACTTGTTGATATATTTTAGTCGATCATTGTTATATCTATAACTTATTCCCTCTTAAATACTCAATCGGGGAGTATATCCACTTCATCGAGGGTAGTTATTAACAACGACCGTTCATTAATAACCCTTACTATTAATCAAATATAGAACAACGCCGTATACCGATTTAATAGTAGCATTTAATCTTTCTAACTCCTTGATGAAATCAATTGAGATTGATAACCTCAACACAAGCGGTTTCGGTTTAACCAACAAAATTAATCCCTCTTAAGTTTATTAACCACGACCGTGCATTAATAAACCGAAGTTACTTACTTGTGAAACCATCAACGATTAACCATCGGTTCGTTGATCGTTTCTAGTAATAATTAATATATGAAACACAAGTAGTTGATCCTTTAAGTAATGTTCAAAATATTAATATGAAATAAGAGTAGGAATTAATTAATATTCAAGGAAGAATATTATTAAAGAAGATGAATCCTACTATAATTAATATCAAAATGTTAACTAATTGTCATCTTAGCAACACTCCCCAATATTAATATAGAGGAAAAAAATACCATTCTAACTAATGTCGAGATGTTAACTAATTGTCATCTTAGCAACACTCCCCAACATTAATATAGAGATGGTATTAAGGAAAGAACTATTAATTAATATTCAAGGAAAGAAGTTAAGAAAATAACTCACAACTTTAATAATCAACAAGCTTCAAGAGCAACACCAAGAATGGAAGTTTAGCTCCTCATTTGGAGACTAAACATAGCTAGAAAAATATAAAGAAATGCTATTCTAAACTGAGCTTAAGAGTATGGAAGAAGGGATGATTTTTAGAGGAGAAAAGGAGTGCTATTTATAGGTATTTTTCAACACCTTTGGCCGGGTACCCGACCGGGTCAAGTACTCACCGACCGGGTCCGGTCAAAATCAGATATTTGCCCACGTTCTGGTGATCTTCGGCATGTTAAAGTGTCCGAGTCAAGTCAGACCCGACCGGGTGAGTGCAAAAATTGGATATTCTTCACGTTCGGGTGATCTTTGCACACCGGGTTGTCCCCGATCACTTCTCACCCGACCGGGTGAGGTAGTGGGCCCGACCGGGCCATGCACTTTCTTTGCATTTTCGTTTTTCACTTCTTACCCGACCGGGTCAAGTGTTATACCCGGTCGGGTATTTGCTCCTGGGCAGCCAAATCTTCTTTTTCTTCACTTCAAAGTCTTCCTTTCCAACACCACAAATCCTAACTAAACTTTACAACTGACAAATAAAGACTAAAATACAATTACAACTGAAATCACATAAATGTTTACAAACTAAATAAAACGTCAAACAATTAACATAAATCAAACATAAAAACATGTAATTATGCACTACTAATTAGTGTGCATCAGGACCGTTTAAGCCCATATACTCCATCAAAGGTAAATGAGAAAAGTGTCAAATTGGCCCTCTTACTTTGTACGAAAAGTCAATTCAGCCCCGGTACTTTAGGTTTCCTCAATAATGCCCTGCTTTGAAAATTTCCTCAAAATCCGATTATTAGCAGGCAACTCGCCAGTCAACAGGTTACCTGCTAACGTGGCACACACGTGGCATGACGGGGCACAAACCTGGCAACCCATGTCACCATTTTATTTTTCCTTTTCTTTTTCTTTTTGGGAAGCTCTCCGGTGCATCCTTATTGTGGATACACGGGTGCATCAATACATGTGTCAAAATTTCAGTCGATATATATTCCACATTTCCACACAATTCATGTCACTAAAATTAAAAAAATGCATAATGGACCTTCACCATTAAAAAATCATTTACGTCCCCCTCCTATTCACCCCAGCAGTCGGCCATTCATATTGTTGACATTTCATCTTCTCCGAACAATTTCGAGTGAATTAGGAATTAAGAACTTCAAATCAATGCCATTGGAACCAAGCATTGTGGTCAAGGCCCTCATTTATGTAGTGTTACTGAAATAATCTGGCAATCCTTCTTCCAGTTTGAGATGACCACCTCCACCGATGGCAATCCATGAACGATGCAGACTGAGGTTAAATCACCTCCACCGGCTCATTTTGGGGATACCTTTAAATTGCCGTCAGGTGCAGGATAGGGTTTTTTGGTCTTTGGAAGACAAAGGAAATTTTTCTGTACACAGCTGTTATCGGGCTTTAGTGGGTGATTATCATCACGACTAGGCAGTGGGACACTGGGATGGGATCGGGTGTGGAAGTTTAATATTCTACCTAAAGTTAAGGCATTCTTTTGGCTGACTTGTGCGGGATATCTCCCTACTACGGATAGGCTTGTGAGTCGGAGGGTAGAGTGCCAAACATTTTGCTCATTACGTTCCCTAGATAAGGAGATGATAGTGCACGTTTTCACATCGTGTCATATATCTACACAGATTTGGGGAAATTAAAGTTTCGATGGAATTTCCCGGTTGGTGTGGGAGGTATTTTCTTAGAGTGAGTGCACAATTCCCCCCCCCCCCCCCCCCCCTCCCCCCCAAAAAAAAGATATCGAGAGTTGTTGTATGTTGTTATGATTTTATGGAGCATTTGGCGAGTTAGAAATGCGAAAGTATGAGAACAGAAGATTGCTACCGTGGATGGCATAATTGCTAAAGCTAGTACTTATCTAGAGGGTAGGGGTGGCGTAGAGCTCACGAGGGGGGATTGAAACAGACGCAGAGGTGTGCCGGTGTGGTACGATGGCGTAGCCCAGAGGAGGGGCGGTTGAAGTTGAATACATATGCGTCCTATTTAACTAGTAATGTACGCGATCTGGGTTGGGTGATTCGGGATAGTGGGGGCTTTTTGTCGCAGAAGGGGCTCAAAATGGATTGGTTGTTCCCCTCAGGCAGCGGAAGCTATGTCCATGCACGAGGCACCAAGCTGGCTAAAGCAGCAGGTTGGGACAATATTGATGTCGAGTTTGATGCGTTGCAGATTATTAAAAGCATTTCTTATGGAACGATTGATTCGATTGCGGGTTTGCTCATTGATGATATTAGAGAAATCTCTTCTAATTTTATTAGTATTTCTTTTTCTCATGTGAAACGATCTGTGAATCGGATAGCTCATGATCTACCAGGGGCTGCTGTTTCTCTGTCTGATCGCTATGTGTGGCTTTATAGTTCCCCTTCTTGTATTTTGGCTTCGTTGGACTTTCATTTCATTAATAATAATTAACTAGTTTTCTTTCAAAAAAGTATTTGATAGAAATGATGTGATGATTTTTATTAAATTTGTTTAGTAATTAGGACGACACTTGCTTTGACCGTTTGACGCTAATTTCTGGAAAAGATATTGACATATTGCATAAAGTACTGATTACTTCTGTTGATTGTACAATTGTTCATTTTTAATAAATATTAAAAATCAAAAAGAAAAATTAAAAACATTTACAAATTCTAAAATAAAATTGTCATATTTTATTCTGCTAATAGAGGTAAATATTGCAATATCTTGACACTACCAAACTTTAAACATTACATTATTTCTAAGGTTGATTGATGATAATTTCTTATATTTATGAAACAAAAACATGGCGGTTCTATTCTGCAATTTCAAAATGTTTTTACTCTTATTTTGAAAATTTTCTCACTTTTGAATATTATATCGGTGTTCTAACAATTAGACAAGTAGCAAGCCACCTTCTAATTACTCTTATGTAATTAGATGACCTATTTGCTTTTTACGGAGTTTAAGACAATTACTCTAGACTTTATAAGAACATCCACATTCATGCTACTTAAATAAACGGATTTTTAATGACACGTAGATTTTTTCAAAATAATCTCACACTTTCTAAATCACACCATTCATCATCTCAAAATAATCAGATCTTTTGTGGGTCCCACACTCACCAATTAATACAAGCTGCATAATAATCTTAAGATAATCTGGATTCATATTTCAATTCAGGATTATTTTGTCAAATAATCTCACCAAATAATATTCATCACTCAATCATGATCCCAAAAATAACCCGCAACATCACCAACATAATCCTCAAGATGCCCTAAAAAGTAAGATGTTTTTGGTACTGCAACGGTACTATAACGGCATTGTAGTGGTACTGTAACTGCTTTTTGAGCGAGATTCTTTCCTAAAAAGGAAAGAAGATTTGATACATCAAAAAAGGAAAGTGTGACAAATAAATATCTAACGGAGGAAGTAATAATCAAGCAACGGTGTCTCGATTAAAACTTTGATTTCTATTTTTAGAAATTATTAGAACTCTCAAATGAAAAAATTAATTATTGAATGCTTAAAATAATTTACTTATAACATAAGGAGTAATAGATATCACCAATGTTCAAATTATGTTATAAACAATGTCAAACACATCACATTAAACCGTATCAGACAATGTTAAAAAAGTGCAGAATAGTACTCCCTCTGTCCCGAATTGAATTGCAAACTTTGACCGACACAAGGATTAAGAAATGACAATAAATGATGCTTCCTTTATACACTTTTGTCCATCTTTCTAAAAGTAGATGTCTTTAAGTTAATGGAGAAAAAGTAAAAGTAAGAGTAAATTTGTCACTTTATTCTTATTTACATACCTAAAATAGAAAGTGAAAAACTATTTTGGGATATCCAAAAAAGAAATTTTGCAAATAAAATTGGGACGAAAGAATTGAAGTATCATTTTCTATATAATATGAGTCCAAAATTGGTCGGTATCTTCTTACATTGAGTTTGGTTATCATGTAAGCCTACTAGCCTAGACATACAGATATTAACTACACCGGTCACCGCATCCCCGGTATTACCTAAAGCAAAAAGCAAAAAAGCAAATAGGAAAATTGAAAAATATACTACTCGTACGTATGTTGGAGTATTTTTTAATCTTCATGCATGAACTCAAGTTCCATATAATAATTGATTATTAATCATAAATAGGCTCTTAAATGCAACGATATGATTACATTATTTTTAGGGTATATTCTATGGTACCCTTAAGGTATCGTACATTTGTCCACATGGATCAATAATAATGATGTAGTTGAATTATTTAAATCTAAATTAAAAATGATGTAACGATTTGAACCAATCAAGTGAGTGGTAGGTATTGTACCCCATTTTTTAAATGAGTATCGGAGTTGTCACCATTTTTTATTCTCAAAATGGGAGTAACATATACGGAGTATATATAATGCGTCCCCTGTTCAGATTCTATCTCCTTTCTATAATCTCAAATGGAATTTTTTAATAAGAAATTCATAATTTTATTTAAAAACATAATAAAAAATGTATAAATTAATAGTAAATACGGGAAAAAATAGAATAAAATTAAAATAAACAAAAAAGAAACAAATCAAAAAATTTAAAAATTTAAAAAAATTAAAAAACAAATAATAAAAAATATTAAAAATATGTAGGTGTTGGCTACCGCATCCTGCACTTCCTTGCACCACCAATTCTGATCGACGCAAAAAATGTCACATTCTTTGAAAATATCATGAAAGGACAAATCTACTCTTTGAAAGTATCCAACTTAATGTTTTATTTTTACTATTTAAAAAGTGCTATTAAGCATGGCAAAGGAAAGTGTAAGATACAAAGAGTTACTCCTATTTTTGGAATTTAAACATTATGCTCATATTAATATAATTTTGCTTTTATTTACTCATATTTAGGGATTTGCCCCTAAAACAAATAAAAATACAATTTTTAATGTAAAACTTCTATAATCAGGCTATGTTTGGTAGACATAAGTCTCTAACTTCTAACTTTTATACTATTTAAAAAGTTCTTAAAAGCCTCTAGTTGTCGGTTTGGCATGCCAATTTTTAAGAGTTTTTATAAAAATAAAAGATTTTTTGAGACGCTACAATGAGTAGCATCTCAGATAAGTCTGTAGCTTCTAGCATTAATTAGTCCTAACAGCTTGTATACCAAACAAAACTAAATCAAACAGTCGACTTTTTATCAAATAGCTGCTACCTTTTTCTTTTAAGATCTTTTCAATCACTAAAAGCTAACGGTTACTAAAAAGCTTATAAAAGTATCTTTTCAGCTAGTTGTGCCGCCATACATACCCCTAGGTCCATGTGACTATGTAATAAATGAAATTTATGAATTTAATTAGATATGCTAAACACAAATTAGATATGCTAGACACATTTTCCCACTTTAAAAACTTATTATGATTAGAACTAATCTATTTTTAGTCCAAAAAATGAATCGAAAAAGACTTTTTCTTGGAATAAAAGAACTAAAACTCATATTTTACCATTTCCCTAAAATGTACTAGTAATATTTTGGACATAGGATATCATGAGCTAGCTATGCCTAAGGTTTAAATCTATATTTAGACCCTATTTCAACCTTTAATTCTATCATTTATATTGATTTAATTGCACCAATATACCATCCGGAGATCTACTACCCCGTCCCACTAACTTTGAGAAGATGCGATGGTGCAACTATTAAGAAAATGAATTTATGTGATCAATATAGTATGAACAAACTTAAAAACAAATCCTAAAAATAAAGTAAGAACAATTTACAAGTATACAAACTTTCTAACGTTGGTATGCGACAATTTTAGTGTAACAAACTGAAAATGAAAGATGACAAAATCTTAATGGGCGGAATGATATTATATTCTAATACACCACCTATCACGTACATTATGTAAATATGGAGTATTCGATATTATTCAATACCTATGGGAGAAAAAACAAGTCCTATTGCTTAGCCTAATTTGTAGAACGCTTTAATTTGTTATTATATAACCGATTCCATATTTTATATTTAACAATACACCGGTTACCTAAGTTTTAATTTTATGCTCCGCATATTAATTATTAAATTGATATTATTAAATTGAAGCTTGATAACACCTGCGGCTTATAAATGGAGGTGGAGAGTAAATAGACTTGCATAGTATTTCACAAACCCTTGTATTATTCAATATGATACTCGTAAATGGCGTTCAACTGGCTCTTGGTCATAGGGATTCTTCTTCACCCGAGGTACATTATGATTTAGAAATTGATCTAAATAGGAGCAAAAACATTTTGAAATTCCAAAATAGGAGTATCATGTTTTTTATTCCTTGAATATGAGTAATCTGCCAAGTTTGAAAAAAATGCCATGTTTTAAAGCCTAGTAATGCCAAACTTGACAGAAATTTACTCTTATTCAAGGAATAAAATACATGATACTCCTATTTTGGAATTTCAAAACTTTTTTACTCTTATTTAGGGAATTCTCTCATTATGATTTTGTTAATACGCTGATTAAGACAAGCGTTAAGCAACAACAATTACAAATCTCTTAACCTACAAACGAATCAACATTAACCATTATTTATTGTAGAATTATATTACATAATAAATTCGATCGACTTTTTCTTCACAAAAAATAATTTAATCTAAAAAAATCCTCATTTTCACGCCTTGTCATGCATTTGGTGATCAACTCTTCAATTGTCTTTCTATTATGTGGGGCATTTTTCTGCTGCCTCACGCCCAGGCCCCGCCTTTTGGGAAAGTGATCCTAAATACTACCCCCGTCCCGGAATTATCTCCTTATTTGACTGGGCACGAGTTTTAAGATAGTGAGAAATGTGTGGTGGAGAGTTGTGCAGAGGAAAGAGAAATGTGTAAGAATGGTTGTGAACCACAAATTCTTTGCCAAAAAAGGAAAGAGAAGATCGATAAATTTGGGTCGGATCGAAAAGGAAAGAATGAAGATAATTCCGGGACGGAGGGAGTAGTACGTATATATTTGTACTTAGAAATCTACTAAATGGCGTGAGATAATGCATTGCATGTGTTTTGTTGGTTTATGCAGGGAATAGATATTCTCAACTTCTTAGTGCGGCATCCTGCTTTGAGGGCTGCATCTTCTTCATATAAGGCCCTTCCAGAAAGAACTTTTTCTCTTTGCGACAAATCTGATTTCCTGGTCACAAGAGAAACTAAATGGGTCTATATTAACCAAAAAGAATACGCAACTGTGGATCCTTACATGGTTGACGTAAGCTTATATTTTTGCTCTCATCGTCTCTCACTAACTAAATCCTTATTATGATATCTAATTAAATTGGTAAAGATGTTCAAATATTATTCAATTCATTACTAGCAAAACGCCCCTGCGATGCATGGCTGTTGAAATTTCATGTGTATAATTAGTTTCGCTAAAATGGCACTTATATGATATTTTCTTATCCCAAAATTTCTTTTAATTTGGTAAATATATACACACAAAAATTACTTCTTCAAATAATATAATTCACAAATCAACAAATATAAAAGGAGAATCTTCCGCTCTATAAAATCTACTTTGTATTTAATCTTCAAACCATTTTAATAAGTTAAAATCACGTGATACAAGAACAATCTACATCAGCTCATTTAATTTATGACTCAAACCTATTTGCACTCTGGTATACACATACATTATTCGTCATTTCGTCGGGTTTGATATTTCATCCTGTGAAAATTCGTTTACTTTAATATTTACTTTAAAATTTGAAATCGATCAAATTAACACTCTGAAATTATATTTTGGCAATAATATAAGTTATTATGGAGGTATTTTACATGTATTTCTAATATAAATAGCACTAATACGGAGTATAAGTTTTTCTCCATAATACCTTTTACATTCTTTGTGTTACAATAAGTAGAAGGTGTTTTGGAGAAATGGGGTTTCCCTTTCTCTAGATTACCTTCTCTTTTGAAAATAATGTTATTTTGGTATTGTGGACATTTTAAATAGTTTGATTTATTCAATCCGAGTTTTAGAGGTGAAAACCAAATTGAAACCGAATCAAACAACTACAGCTCAATTTTTTTGACATCAGTTTAGATTTTTTACATTTCAATTTATTTTGCTTGCGATTTAACTTTTGTCAATTATTCAATTCTCAAATTAACTTTCGTCATAGAGGTTTGATGAGTTTATCGATTCTTTTTTCGCATTTCCTACTATCAAATATTCTAATGTTTTTATGTTTTTTGTGAATTTGTCATCTTAAAGATTGTTGGTACTGATGGTCAGCAAACCTGTGTAGGTCTTGTCATACGAAATCCAAAAACGGGAAGGTATATATAATTAAGAAATAAACAAATTTATCCTACATGATTTGATTTTCATGGAATTAATTAATTGTTTGAAGTAAATCTCCAATATAGATTATATTCATGTGCCATATTCTTCGACATTGGTTTCAGGATCTCTGTTGCCCATATAATTTATGACTATATTGTTGACATGGGTATAACCCAGATGATATCCTCCATATGTGATCAAGAAAGTAATGATATATTGGACGTACGTACTATAATTATCTCCTAAGAACTTATTTTAATTTGTTATAAGAACACTTTACTGCTTGGACTTTTATTTGGTACCTGCCTTCCATTTTTTCAAGCAATGACTAGTCTTTTTCTAATAATTGTAAGTTGAAATAGTGTATTTTTTGCAAATATTCTAAATTAATTTCAAAACTTGTAACTTTGTAAGTGCTACATTATCAATTATAATATCGTTTTCTTTGTATAATCGCTTCTCATAAAACAAGTCATTTGTCTAAATTTATTATAACCACTAATTAATATATTAATTATCCATGTGTATAATTAATACATTCACCCTTCCTCGAGCCTCCAACACCACCACCAGTTAAGTAATATGCTAGAAGCGTTACATAGAACTTTAATCACTACATGTTTGACACAAGTGAGACTTGCACCTGGTACTTACAAAAATCCCATATAGTTGTTGGGGATATATTCAAGTTAGGTCTACTCCTCAGTAGCACCCCTATGAATCATTCGATCAATTAAGCTACCACCACTCCTTCAAGTCGGTGTAGCTCATTTAGTTGACCACATACTCTCAAGTCTCTCCTTTGTATGAGGTACGTTTTAGTTCAATTCTCGATCACTAAGGAAAATGTGGTAGATCTTGCTCTCAATGAGTTTCTTATATCCATAAAGTAGTATAGCTGCCGAGGAGGGAGACGATGTTAATGGAGGTAGCGGGTTCATGTGGTGAGAAAGTAATCCTGTGACAAGTGGTTTAAGTCCTTTTGGATGAGTCATTTAGAGTGAGTATGATAGTACCAATCAAGACTGGTTATGATCAAATTCAAATTTGATTGTCCAGAGGACTTGAGGTTTTGAAGTGTAATTCATAGACTCTAAAATTATAGGAGCGAAAACAATAACATGCAAACTTGAATCATAAAAAGATGTAATCACATTTGGAGAAGTTAAGTTTCTCTTGACAAGTTTTCTAATCCAAGCTTTGCCACTGCGAATGCATACATTTAATCGACCATTATTTTAAATGAAGTTAAATGAAATATGTCGTATACAACAACTATACAAGCAAGGAAAGGATTATGACAAAGTTGAGATATTTAAATTAGTAGTTTGTATATTTAAATTTAGTATTATTTTATGTAAGTTGTACTCCCTCTATGTCACAAAACTTGACCAACTTGATTTTTCAATTCGTAGTCAATGATAATAATCTTTGGATAATGATTTTAGTTAATAAATTCATGTGAAGTTTATAACTTTTATACTTTTGTGAAAATACTTATAACAACGAACACTTTTATATATTGTTAAAGTTTTTGTCCCACACCAGAAAACTATAAAACAACAAAACACTATATAAGACTTTGAGTTACTTCTCCTATTAGGTTAACCTTTTAGGATGAAACCCTGGGTCTTAACATGATATCAGAGCCAAATGAATCCATAATCATGGTGTGGGCACCCTATGAAAAATGACGACACGAATATAAAAAATGAGGACGACGATATGATGAAAAATTTAATGACGACACGATCTAGACGAAGTGTCTGATCGTGAAGAGGGGTGTTGAAGTCCCACACTGGTAAATTAAGAGGTAATAAAGAGCTTTATTATGATCCTTGACTACTCCTTCTATGAGGTTAACCTTCTAGGATGAAACCCCGAAAATTAAATTTTTAGGATAGAACCCCATGTCCTAACATATACTTCCTCCGTCCCTTTTTATTTAGCCAAACACTATTTTTCAAGTCAACCATGTTAAACTTTGACCGATCATGTTAAAAATACTATCATAAAAGTATAAATTTATTAAGTTTCACACAAATACGTAGTACATTAGTTAAAATAATGGATATCAATTTATCATTTTTGACTGAAAAAGTTAAAGTTGGCTAAATAAAAAGAGACGGAGGTAGTATATAATTTTAGTATTTGAAATAATTTCATACGGAGTATTAAAAATATCATTGTCCACAAAAAGTCTACATGACTAAATTTTATGGGATGGGCCCAGTATAAAATACATAGTACTTCCTTCGTCTCGCAAAATAGTTCCTGGTTTGACTTGGATCGAAGTTTAAGAAAGTGAGAATAAAGTGAAAATGTATTATTGTGTTGAGTAATAAAAATGTAAATGAAAGTTAGTCATACAAAACTTTCCAAAAATGAAAATGAGAGCATTTTTTTGGGACGACGACCCAAAAAGGAAAGTGAGAACAATTTTGCGGGAAGAATGGAGTATTATTTAAGCAAATGAAAGACCAATGTGTTCATCACTTACCCTAAAAGATACTCCCTTCGTCCCTAAAACAATTTCCTTTTTACTATTCGCTTGGTCAACTTAAATCACTCTTAATATTTTACTTTATATATCAAATTTTTATCAAATTGGAATTACTTTTTTGCAACTTTAATTTGTAAAGTTTTTAATATAATTTCTGAATATGTAAATTTTATTTACTAAAAAAATTTTAGTTTTAAAGTTATGATGTGATATGTAGGTTCATGTAATTGGTGGTTACAATACTTCACCAAAACAAAGTTGTAGAATGTGGGATGGAGTTTCCACTTTTATCTGTTTGAAGATAGTTGAAATTCTTTGGAAAAGCACCAAAAGATTTAATATTCAAACTCTATATATTCTTAATGACAACACCATATATGATAGAGAAGGAAATGCTTATCCACTTCTCAAAGGTTTCCTGGTAAGTGATTCTCTCGATCCTCCGTCCCTTCTAACTTATCCTCTTACTTTGTCTCAATAACTTAATCGCATCCCCTTTTAAAAATAATTATATTAATTTGTAGTTATTAATGAATATGGCTCCTCAGCATATATATCTCAATCATACAAATTTATTTTAGTATTTCATGTATCTGTCAACTTTGATCGTCAATATATATATTTAATTCTCTGTATGTACAAAATTTAACCAATCAAATTTTAAAAATTTGTAATGACACAAATTCAACAATATTAAAAAAAACATATATATTAACAAATAAAATATAGTCAAAGTAGGGCATGTAAAAAGTGTAAAATTCAACATGTTGTAATTAAAAATAAACGGAACTGGTATAAGGGACATAGAGAGTATGAGAAACTAACTCTAGGTATGTAGTTAATATAAGCTAGCTAGCCAGGTTGTTTCATTCTTAATTATTCGTGAATATGTGTTTCTAGGTGGAAACTGGGAAAGGGTCAATATTTCCAGCAACCTTCCATGTGACTACAAAAGGTCCTGATGAATACATTCGAAGCATTCGAGAACGGGCTTCTTTAAGGGATCTCAATTGGAAGAATAGATTCCTTGAGACATATGATACTGAGTCTGACCAATTTGTTATTGCTCATGTTTCTAGGTATTCTCACAACCTAGCTATAATCTACAAAGAATTTGTTTATAAGAAATAGCCTAGTAGAAAAACCATAGGAAATTTCAAATAAAAGTGTTACTCCCTCCGTCCCAAAATTATCTTCATAGTTACTATTCACACGGTCAACTCAAATTATTCTTAAAGTTTTACTTTATATATCAAATTTTTATCAAACTTAAATTTTATTGATCAGCCTTTGTAGCGGATTTGATGTAGTTTCTGAATATGTAAATTTAATTTACTAAACATAATCTGAGTGTGAACAGGGATCAAGTTACTTTATCGTCAGTCAAGCATCGTAAACCGAACTACGAAGATAAATATGGGACGGAGGGAGTATATTTTTCGTGTAAATGGGGCAATTATTGTCATGTTTGAAAACACTGTCAACTATGAAATTAATATTGTCAAACTTATGTCTCATAATTTCTAAATATGATAGTTTTAATTTCGGATGTCAGTAATATGTGCACTTCTATTTAGAGAACACACACACCTTTTATTTTTTTAATTTCACGTGATTCTTTATCTAATTTACGGAATTGCTTAATTTATGTATTATAAAGAATTTGGGATCTCGTAAAGCCCTATCACTTCAGATATTTCATAATTTACTACTTTTTCTGAATGCTGTATGTTTTGATCTTTTTGAATTAATAGGGGCAAAAGATATTTGAAATATATTGAATCATTGCGAAACCAATCTGATGAGGAACTTTGTAATACTTATTTCACTATTCCAGTTCCAGCAAGTCCTCATAATATACGTCTAATAAGAAGGTAATTAAATAACATATTCATATCTTACCTTTTGTATTGATGCATTAGTTATTACGCACTTTCTATTGTGGTGGATCCTATCTTTCATTCTTTTTTACTCCACCGATAAAACTTATCAAGGACTAAATTGTCAATTCATTCTTTCTCTCAGCGATTTGGAAGAGTTATTTCAAGTTCCAGATTGGGAAAAGGTATTCCCATTCAGACGACCTCGAATATTTTTTAGATCCAATAATGGTGGTTGGACGATGAGAACCCTTGAACATGTTCAAATAATCAAAAGAACTGCGGGTAAGAGATAGGGTTGGTCCAAGGAGATGCAATATTCAATACCCAACTAAACTTAGATTAAATATATATTGTGATAATATATGATGTATTATTATTATTTTAATAATAATGTTGCACAGTTACATGTCCTATTGTATAAAATAAAGTAATTAATAAATTTCACACCTATGTTATTTATAGATCATCGTTTCTAATCTTGGGAGGCAACCCAATTTCTTCATTTTTATTTTCATTTGTTTTCAGTCGTGTGTGTGTTTAAAAAAAATGAGCCTGGGCTGAAACCCGGTCGGGTATCTCAACAACCCGGTCGGGTTCCATCACAAAAACACAATACCCGGGCAACACAGCCACCGGGTGAAAACGAAAAAAAAGGGGGCATAAGACCCGACCAGGTCTGTGCATATTTTTGGCTTTGAAACCCACTGGAATGCATACCTGTTCGGGTATTACCGAAAACCCAGACGGGTACGCATTTAAATTTTTGAAATAGCCACAAACCCGACCGAGTAGCCTAATTCACCCGGCCGGGTAAGCGTTCCAGTAGCTACTGGATTGAAAACAATGAAAGGCCCGACCGGGCGTATGTCCTTACCCGGCCGGGGCGAACGGGAAAATCACTCAAAACCAGGTTGGGCGACCTCTTCCCCTCCCACCTCTTTCTTCCCCAACCCGCACCACCTTCCCCAAATCCCCCATTTTCAACTAACCAAACCTTCGATTCTACACCATTTCTCCACCCCAATCCACCAAATAATCCCATTTTCTTCATCTCCTCACCTCCCTCTTCAATTCTATACCCATAAAATCCCCCAAAACCTTCCAAATCAACCAAACCCAAAAAACCCTACCCAACAATTCGAAAATCTCCATTCTTGGACATTCAAGGTCCGAAATCTTCCCAAAAATTCTCAACCAATACCATATTCTTGCTCTTCTCATCATCCTCTTCAACACCATACCCATAAAAGCCATCCAAACTCCACCCTACCCAAAAGTCCGAAATTCCTCAAGCAAAATAACAAAAAAAATCCATCCCATGGCTCCAAAAAAATCCAAAACTTCTTCTTCAAGGGCCATCCCACCCGTGGCGGGCTATGAAAGCGTGGAATTTGCAACAGAGGCACACAAAACACTCTTCAAGGAACAAGCCAAAAGGGAGGTAAAACAATCCCGGTTCATGTGCATTACTACTTTAGCACTCCTTTGGATTGATATGATCATGTGTGATATATTCGCAAGGATTGGAATTGTTGGAAAAATGTGTTAAAAATTGCATTAAATGGTCATTTTTGGGCATTTATTTGAGTGGGATCCACTTCCGATTTGGGTCGGATCAAAGAGGTTTCGGATTGTCCTTGTTAAGGACTACAATTCTATATATGGTACACTCAAAACGGATAACGGGTGAATGAGAAATTGATTCTCGAAGTTCACTCGTTGAAACGGAAAAACTGGGAAAATGATAGGTTTCTAGTGTGTTTTATCTCACACTGAAAAACTCAAGGGATTTTCCCCCCTTATAAAGGGAAGCCTCTTTTAAGGAGTTAGGATTTCTAAGGGTAAAGGCTCTCTCTTACGAGCAGGGGGGGTGCCGATCAAATCCCGAAACGGAGAAAAAAAACCACGACTCGTGTGCGCGGTCAACCTGCGGACATGAATGTCGTCCGAAAACCAATCATTCAAAGATACGGTCTAATTTTTGTTTCTTCCCGTTACGTTTTATTTTTCCCAGGATTAGAGTTGCTCGAACTCTGGTGGAGGTATTTGAAGAGCACTTTGTCACAGTGCGTCAAAATAATTTCAATACTAAACACTTCTACGTAGTATAGCGTAGTAGAGTTCGTATCCACAGGGAAAGGAATGATTTTCTTTTTATGAAACTTAGTAAATAAAAGAGGGATTTGGATTGAGTGATTTAATTTAATTAAGAACCAAGATGAACAACCTATATGTGTTTAATTCAAAGATAAAAAGGACTTGACATTGCTACTTTCCACTTGTTGATATATTTTAGTCGATCATTGTTATATCTATAACTTATTCCCTCTCGAATACTCAATCGGGGAGTATATCCACTTCATCGAGGGTAGTTATTAACAACAACCATTCATTAATAACCCTTACTATTAATCAAATATAGAACAACGCCTTATACCGATTTAATAGTAGCATTTAATCTTTCTAACTCCTTGATGAAATCAATTGAGATTGATAACCTCAACACAACGGTTTTGGTTTAACCAACAAAATTGATCCCTCTTAAGTTTATTAACCACGACCGTGTATTAATAAACCGAAGTTACTTACTTGTGAAACCACCAACAATTAACCATCGGTTCGTTGATCGTTTCTAGTAGTAATTAATATATGAAACAAAACTAGTTGATCCTTTAAGTAATGTTCAAAATATTAATATGAAATATGAGTAGGAATTAATTAATATTCAAGGAAGAATATTATTAAAGAAGATGAATCCTACTATAATTAATATCAAGATGATAACTAATTGTCATCTTAGCAACACTCCCCAACATTAATATAGAGGAAGAAAATACCATTCTAACTAATATCGAGATGTTAACTAATTGTCATCTTAGCAACACTCCCCAACATTAATATAGAGATGGTATTAAGGAAAGAACTATTAATTAATATTCAAGGAAAGAAGTTAAGAAAACAACTCACAACTTTAATAATCAACAAGATTCAAGAGCAACACCAAGAATGGAAGTTTAGCTCCTCATTTTGGAGACTAAACATAGCTAGAAAATATAAAGAAATGCTATTCTAAACTGAGCTAAAGAGTATGGAAGAAGGGATTATTTTTAGAGAAGAAAAGTGTGTTATTTATAGGTGTTTTTCAACACCTTTGGCCGGGTACCCGACCGGGTATAGTACTTACCCGACCGGGTCTGGTCAAACTCAGATAATCCACCACGTTCTGGTGATCTTCGCACGTCATTTTGTCCCGGTCACATCTGACCCGACCGGGTCAAGAAGGGGACCTGACCGGGTCCAGTGACTTTCTTGGCAATTTCGTCTGTTAAATCATACCCGACCGGGTGGGGGTTTCTACCCGGTCGGGTTTCACTCCTGGGCAGTCAAATTTCTTGTTTTCTTCTCTTCAAAGTCTTCCTTTCCAACACCACAAATCCTAACTATATGTTGGGATATTGACCTAGAGGCCCAATACCCAGATCGGGAAGGCCCAAGATATCCGGCCCAAGCAACGGGCCCATCACTCTATGATGAAAAAGATCCAGTAAGAAGACATACCGAACGGAGTTCGGCCCAAATAAAGGTTGGCCCAGTAAGAAGACATACCGAACGGGGCTCGGACTATATATCATACTTGGGCCAATTTGACAGCATCTTCAGTACAACCCAACATCCCATCCGAGCAACGGCCAACCAGCAAGTGGCCAGGTGCAATTAATGCCAGACTATGACATCGGCAAGTGGAATCATGGATGACCAAGTCGGTGGAACAACGGCCAATCAGCAAGAGGCAGCCCATGCTCTCCATTAGTATAAATAGAAGGTTTCTAGTCATTGTAAGGGTTAGCATTTCAATACTCAAGCTCTAGAATAGCATCATTTGCTCTTATTTCTTGTATTAAAGCATAGTTTCCGACTTACCGATCGGGAAATTCCTTGTAATCAGATTGGTTAATTAATACAAGTGAGCTTTCGAGTTTTAGTTAGTTCAGATTTTATATTTTCTTATACGCTTTGATTCTGGGCAATTCCTGATATATCCAAAGTTCGTGTTGGGCTTTCGGATCTACGGGACTTACCCTCAACATTGGCGCCGTCTGTGGGAAACTTGCAAAAAGTTTCACTTTCTAAACATCCAAAAAACCTCTATTTTTAAAAAATGGTCAGAATCAATTCCTATCATACAAACGACGGTTCACACCGTCACGGGAGGAGTCACACCCCGGGGAGTCAAAACCCCCAGGGACAATCCAGTCGAGGATCGTATCCTCGTTTTAATGGGGATTTTGTGATTCCCGAATCTCTGAGAAGAAATCCCCAGGCCATGCGTGACATGGCCCAATTCATGCAGCACATGGCGAACGAAGAGGAAGGAGGTTCCAGCTTTACAGGAGAAACTCCACGCGCGGAAACGACCACAGCGTCATCCCGTTCGCATACCCATCGGGATAATCGACGTAGCGCCCCACCAGCAGCGCATCCCAGTCCCAGTGACCGAACCCCGGTCGGGTCGCAAGCTAGAGGACCAACTCCCGTCGGTCATCATTTCCAGTATGCCGAGCGGGAAAATACTAGGGCCCCTCAACGGCATTGGGACCGGGACTGTACGGATATGAGGGTTCCACCACCGCCCCCTTTGACGGCCCAGGAGGAAGAGATGGCCGAGATGAGGAGGCAAATGAATGAAATGCGGGACCAGATGAACAGGGTACCTGTACAACCTGCGCCAGTTCTGCTGGGAATTACTTCCCCGTTTACTAGGGAGCTCATGTACGCGGATATCCAAGGGGGTGCCAAGCCCCCGACCGGCCAAATTTACGATGGGGTGGGAGATCCCCACGTACATCTGAGGAGTTACCAAGGCGGACTTATGCTGCTAGGAGCACCCGAGGCCGCCATCTGCCGGTTGTTTTTCAGCACGCTCAGGGGGCCTGCCAAGGAATGGTTCGGGACACTACAGCCCGGGTCAATCAATAGCTTTGCCGAGTTATCAGCGTTATTCTTGGCTCAATTTGCTTCCAGTGCCAATCCCAAACGGCACTTCAGTTATTTGACCAGCGTGAAGCAAAACGCCAAGGAGACCCTCAACCAATTCCTGAAAAGGTGGAGGGATGAAACTTTAACAGTGGAAAACATGACGGATGATACCGCCATTACCCTGTTCACGAATGCTCTCCGAACGGGGGAGTTGTACAAAGAATTGAAGAAGAATCCGGGTACGGCGTACGCCGAGGTGTTAGATAGGGCTCGCAAGCATGCCGCCCTAGAAGAGGAGATAATGATCAGGGATAAGGTCATTACGCCTGCTGCCCCGATCAGACTGGCCGATCGGCTGGGTCCTAGCCCAGCGGCCACTTTACCTCCCAAACAAGGGAGATTTACACCCTTGGTCCTATCAATAACGACCATCTATCAGCACGAGAGGGACAATATTCCCATCTCGACTGATTCTGGACAGTTCATGGGAACGGATGACAATGCTTTCTGTAAATATCACAACAGAAAGGGTCATGCCACCAATGCCTGCAGGGCCCTACAAACAGCAATTGAGGATCTGATCCGAAGGGGCCATCTGGGCAAATATGTGAACAAAGATCTGAATGCAATGGACACGTTAAAACCGGCCAGGAAACCTAATAGCTGGCGCCGGGATGCTCAACGTGACGCCCAGCCTCAAAATGATGTGTATGTTCCTCCCAGGTATGAGCCAGAGGGCTCGGGAGGCCCTGGAAAGAAGCCTCGAATGGAGGTCAAGGTCATATTTGGGGGCGGGGAGACCGGAGATTCGAACGCCGAACGGAAAAGGTTCGAGCGAAGTCTTTATGTGGGATCCGTCTCCGCTCCCCCCCAGAAGAAAGGAAGGACAGACCCGATCACGTTCGGGCCAGCTGATTTACCCAATTCTCCAAGCCCCCACATGGATGAACTGGTGGTAAGCATGTGTATTGACAATGCTTTGATCCGCCGAGTACTGGTTGATACTGGGAGCAGTGTGAATGTATTGTATCTACAATCATTCGAGAAAATGGGTCTACAAAGGAGCCAACTGACCCACCTGCGGACTCCACTGGCGAGTTTTACCGGTAACTGCATCGAGGCGGAAGGGACCATCCAATTAATGGTTGAAATTGGGGATGAAACCCACAGAGCGTCACTCCGAATGACGTTCGTGGTGGTAGATATAAAGTGCGCCCACAATGCCATATTGGGCCGACCGGGATTGGAAGATCTGGAGGCAATAGCCTCTGTCCGCCACTCATGCATCAAATTCCCTACAGACACTGGGGTAGGGGTGGCCAGAACTGACCCAACAACAGCCCGGACATGTTATCGGGAGGCCCTGAAACAGATGAACACTCGTGGGATGCAGGTGAATACAATTGAGGTGGAAACCCACCGAACAGAGTTCGAGGCACACCCGGAGCCCGCCACCCTTCTTGAAC